ATGTTTTATTACTATAGCTCTATAGAAGAGTTTGAAGGGATGGCAATGCCTCTGGAAGTTCCTTTATTGTACAGGAGTGTTTTAGCTATACTTGATTTTTTTTTTAACTTTTCCATATGAAGTTGAATATTGTTCTTTCAAGGTCTGTAAAGAATTGTGTTGAGATTTTGATTGGGGATTGCTGTGAATCTGTAGATTGCTTTTGGTAACTTTGTCATTTTTATTATGCTGATCCTACTTATTCAAGAGCATACGAGAGCTTTCCATTTTCTGATATCTTCTTCAGTTTCTTTCTTTAGAGACTTAAAGTTCTTGTCATACAGGTCTTTCACTTATTTGGCTAGAGTTACTTCAAGATATTTTATATTTATAACTACTGTAAAGGGTGATGGTTCTCTAATTTCTTTCTCAGCCCATTTATTATTTATAGGAAGGCTACTGAATTTTTTGAGTTAATCTTGTATCCTGCCATACTACTCAAGATATTTATCAGTTGTAGGAGTTCTCAGATAGTGTTTTTGGGGTCACTTACGTAACTTATATCATCTGCAAATAGGAATGCTTTGACTTCTTCTTCCTTTCTAATTTGTATCCCCTTGATCTTCTTTTGTTGTCTTATTGCTCCAACTAGAACTTCAAGTACTATATTGAATAGATACAGAGAGAGTGGACAGTCTTGTCTTGTTTCTGATTTTAGTGGAATTGCTTTGAGTTTCTCTCCATTTAATTTGATATTGGCTGTTGGCTTGCTGTAAATTGCTTTTTATTATGTTTAGGTATGTTCTTGTATCCCTGCTCTCTCCAAGACCTTTATCATGAAAAACTGCTGTATTTTGTGGAAAACTTTTCAGCATCTAATGAGATGATCATGTGGCTTTTTTCATTCAGTTTGTTTATGTGGTTGATTACGCAGACAGATTTCTGTATGTTGAACCAACACTGCATCTCTGGGATGAAGCCTACTTGGTCATGATGGATGATTTTTTTTTTAATGAGTTTTTGGATTCAGTTTGTCAGTATTTTATTGATTATTTTTGCATCAATGTTTATAAGGGAGAATGGTCTGTAGTTCTTTTTCTTTGTTGAATCTTTATGTGGTTTGGTTATCAGGGTAACTGTAGCCTTGTAAAAGAAGTTTGGCAATGTTCCTTCTCTTTCTATTGTATGGAATAATTTGAGGAGTATTGGAATTAGCTCTTTTTTAAAATTCTGGTAGAATTCTGTGCTGAGGCCATCTGGTCCTGGGATTTTTGGGGAGGGGTTGTTGTTGGGAGACTTTTGATGACTGTTTCTATTTCTTGGGGTTATAATTCTATTTAAATTGTTTATCTGGTCTTGATTTAATTTTGGTATGTGGTACCTATCCAGAAAGCTTTCAATTTCTTTAAAATTTTCCAATTTTGTGGAGTACTGTTTTTTTTTTTTGTTGTTGTTGTTTTGTTTGTTTGTTTTTTCGAGACAGGGTTTCTCTGTAGCTTTGGTACCTGTCCTGTAACTCGCTCTATAAACCAGGCTTGCCTCAAAGTCACAGAGATTTGCCTGTCTCTGCCTCCTGAGTGCTTGGATTAAAGGTGTGTGCCCTCCTCCCGCACAGTGGTGTACAGGTTTTTGAAGTATGATCTGATGAGTCTCCAGATTTCATCAGGTTCTGTTGTGTAAATCCCCCTTTTTGTTTCCGATTTCGTTAATTTGGATATTCTTTCTCTGTCTTTTGGTTAGTTTGGATAAGGGTTTATCTATTTTGTTGCTTTTCTCAAAGAACCAGCTCTTTGTTTCATTTTTCTTGTATTGTTCTTTGTTTCTGTTTTATTGATTTCAGCCCTCAATTTGATTTTTTCCTGGGATCTCCTTCTGGTTAATTTGCTTCTTTCTGTTCTAGAACTTTCAGGTGTTCTATTAATTAGCTAGTGTGGGATTTCTCCAACTTCTTTATGTAAGGCCTTTAGTACTAAGAACTTTCTTGTTCATACTGCTAAGTTTGGGTATGTTGTACTTTCATTTTCACTGAATTATAGGAAGTCTTTAATTTTCTTCTTTATTTCCTCCTCGACCCAGGGATGATTCAGTTGCTCATTATTCAGTTTCCAAGAGTTTGTGAGCTTTCTGGAGTTTGTATTGCTGTTGAATTCTAACTTTAAGCTATGGTGATTTGATAAGATACAGGGTTTAATACCATTTTCTTTTTGTGTCTGTTGAGATTTCCCTTGTGACCGAGTATGTGGTCAATTTATGCCTGTTAAACCCATTTGAGTCATAACTTTTGTTAGTTCCCTTATTTCTCTGTTAACTTTCTGTCTGGCAGACCTGTCCAGTGGTGAGAGTGGGGTGTTGAAGTCTCCCACTATTAGTGTGGTCTGATGTGCGATTTAAGCTTTAGTAATGTCTCTTTTACAAATGTGGGTACCCTTGTATTTGGGGTATAGATGTTCAAAATTGAGACTTCATCTTGATGTATTTCTTCTAGTGATGAATATAAAATGTCCTTCATCTCTTTTGATTTCCTTTAGGTTGAAGTCTATTTTGTTAGATATTAGGATAACTACACCAGCTTGTTTTCTTAGGCCCAGTTGATTGGAAAGTGTGCAGGTGACCTATGGCTCATTACAATACTAAAACACATCCCTAGGAGGATTCAAGATGCTATTGAGACATGAAAAGCTTGAAACTGTGTGTAGAACTCATGTGACAGATACTACATGTGCAAGGTAGCATGAGATAAGTAATGCTATGTGATACAAAACTTTGCCCCCATCTTCTGTTCGGTGAACATATTAAAACCATACAGAGAAGAGCAGGCCTAAGAACTTATCATGCCAGGTGAAGGAAAGGAGGTAATCCTCCATTTGAGTCCCATCAAGAGGCAGGCACCTAGCATTAAGATACCTGGTGGTAGTGGTGCACATCTTTAATCTAGCATGTGGGAGGCAGAGGCAGGGGAATCCCTGAGTTTGAAGCCCTCCTGGTCTAGAGTGAGTTCCAGCACAGTTAATGCTACACAGGGAAACCCTGTCTCTAAAAAAACCAAACAAACAGAGATGGAGACAGTGCTCACTGACCACCTAGGATGTGCACCAAGAGACAGACAGGGAGATAATTCAGAACTGTCTCAGGGTCTTCAGCTCTGCTCAGTCCCTGTTGTTGGCATGGCACACTCAAACTGTCGCCTGCCCATCTGCCTGTTCGCCTGCCTAGATCTGCTGTCTGCCCATCTACTCATGTATTCATCTGGACCTAGTTCTGCCCTTTTGTCTCTATAGCTACTGTCAACTCAGCCTGAAGCCTGACTCTACAACAGTCCTAATAGACCCTTCAGCACAGTAATTCTCAGTCTGTGGGTGGTGATCTCTTTGGGGAGGTCAAATGACCCTCTCATAGGGGTTGCCTAAGACCACCTGCATATCAGGTATTTATACTATGATTCACAGCAGTAGCAAAATTACAGTTATGAAGTATCAATGCAAACAATGTTATGGTTGGAGGGGTCACCACACCATGAGGAACTGTATTAAAGGGTCACAGCGTTAGAGTGATCGAGAACCTCTGATCTAGCAGGGGCAACAGCTCAGGTTGTTTCATTGTCTGCAAATTTATTTCTACTGGGTTTTCTGCTTCTTCAGACTTCTGAAACCCCCTGAAGTCTGCTGTGACTCCTTAACTCACAAGAGTCATTCTATAATCCCCCCCCACACACACACACTCTGTGTGATGTGTAATATGTGATCTGAGTGTTAACCGTAGTAAATATATTATTGCAATTAAAGGACCCCTGCTCACCACTGTCAGGACTATCAAGAAAAGCTGATGTTTCTGGCAAATTGCTGCTGTTGAAACTGTGGTCCCTTGTGTGTTTATGGTTATTCAATAAATTCTGCTTTGTACAAAGGCAAATGCATACTCATCTCTGTTTCTGACATAATATGTCCAGGATTTTTGTTGTTGGATGTTTCTGTCCCCCTAGCCAGCTCCCAACAGTTCCCAATTAACCACAAAGAGGCTTCTTGTTAATTGTAAACGTTTGGCTGATAGCTTAGGCTAGTTACTAACTAATGCTTACAACTTAAATTGACCTTGACCTGTATTTCTTGGTACTTTTTATTTTTTTGCACAGCAAGTTCACCTTGCTTCTTGTTAGGGTCCTGGAGAGGTCCCACAAAAGAAGTCCCACAAAAGTCCACGTATGCAATAAGCCAGAGCTTATATATATTATAGCACGTGCATGTGGGGTTGCTCACCTGTACAAAATGGTGACCACCCTGAGAGGGACATGAAGGCTTCTTTTAGGCGCAGCTATGGGGAGTTCCTAGGGTAGTTAGGTAATTTTATCTATGATTGGCTTAAGTGAGTGGCAATTATGTTAGTATATTTCTAATTGGCTAAGGCTAGGAAAGGCTCACTAAGGCTGTAGCTTTTCTATTTGGGGATAGGCCTGGACAAGTTCCAGGCTGTGTTCTTCCTTGGCTGCTGTGGAGCTTTGCAGGGGGTGGGGTGCTGGCTCAGGCCTAGAATACCTTGAGCTGCTGTTGGGGTCTTAAAGATTGATTGTCCTTTGTTCATGACTTCCTCAGAAACAGCCTGCTCAGTTACAAGAAGCAGGGACTGGGGCCTAATTTTTAACTGAGTTATTTGGGACCTGTCATGATATTTGCCTGGCTTCCTCACTTTTCTCCAGGTCTCTTGGCGACCCCTCTCTTCTTCCTCCCAATGTTGTCCCCGGCTGGTTCTCCTGTTTAACTTCTTCATGCCTACCTAATGGTCATTTAGCTCTTTATTGAAGCAATGAGAACAACACATCTTATACAAAAAAGATTATTCCACAGTATGGGAGAGGGTAGGAGAAAGGGGCAGAAGGGAGGGGAACGGAGAAAAATAGTTAACTTTTTTTTTAACAGTTTAATTTGTTAACATTGCATATGCGTGTCTTTCCGATTTTGATCTTCAAGAAGGTAAAGAAGCACCAAAGAGCCCTGCTGAGGATGCTAGTGTAGCACATTGTCAGGATCTTAGAGCGAGAGGATGCAGCGGATGCTGAAACACAGAAGAGCCGATGCTGATGTTACTGACTTGTCTGTGCTCACGGAGACAGCACAAAGCAATTACAGCATCTACCGTTTAGGAGAGAGAATGGCTCACCCATCTCCATTTCCCAGATCTACTCTTATTACTGCCCTTTCTCTTACAGATACTGAAAATATCTGTAATGGAGGCCAGCAAAGAACTGTCAGTCATGAGATCTGATGTAGCAACGAGAAGCAGACAGTGCGGGAAGAGACAGCCCTGAACTGTCATGCCTCGGTTATAGGTGCATTTCACCCTGTGAGTTCTCGCCACTCACTGTCTGGTGGGAACTGGAGTAGCAATTCTGTTTTCTAATTGTGAAAGGCCGTGTGAAGACAACCATTGGATTGCATTTTGAATTGGAATGTCAGTCTTTTTGTTGCTGTTGGTTTTCTCATCAACTGAGGTGCTATGCTCTCAATAATTTCCAAATTCTAGTCATCGAGAAGAAGAGCAATGCACATTGTGCTTTATATATTGGCAAGTTCCCTAGAGCACAAAGCATCCTAAGTCCACCATTCTAAAACATTCATAGTAGGGAAGTTTGCTCATCTATTCTCCCTTTTATTTGATCTTTTAAGCAAAAACTTTTTTTTGAGCAGTTCTCACACTTGAGGTCTTGCAGTTGATGCTGGCGTTGGAGATAGAAATGTGATATCCAAGAATTCACATGACAATTGAATTACCATTTACTGTCACATTGTCATCATGAGGGTGGCAGAGAGCCGAGTAGGAGCATGGATTCTTCATAACACTTTGACTGAAAGTCACATGTATGTCACCACACCCAGGAACATCTTACTTACACACACACAAGTGCATATGCACAGACACACATATATGCACACACACACTTACCCCATTCACACAAATACTGACCAGTTTTCCTCTCGCAACAATTTGAATGCTTTGTTGACTTTTTCAAAGGGCAGCTTATGGGTTATAAGAGCGTCTATGTTGATTTTCTTTTGTACGTAGTCCGTCACTAGTTTAGGGATGTCGTCTCTGGTTTTATACCCTGTAGAAGGAAAAGACAAAAGTAACAGGATGTGAAAAATATCAGAGCTGACTGAAGGCTTGCACAATTGCCTATTTTCTAAAATTATCAAAGCCGTTCATTCATTGGTCCTTTTTTTAAGTGTCAAAGCCAATGGTGTGTCGCTAGCAGAATCCAGTCACTGACAGCACTGTAATTTCCTGGGCTATAGAAGAGCCCTACTACCTATGTTCTCATGACTATCACCATAACCCATGTGCCTAAAGCTCTCCGTTGTCCTCAGGGCGCGAACAGTTTCCTGCAGCACCTGCTGGCTGATTTACCAGACTCCTCTCCTCTGAGGCTCTAACATCAGCTGGAAGGTGAAGGTGGCAGGAAGTGGTTAGTGTCCTGGAAACAAAGGACAGCTGTGGGGTGAGGGGCTCTGAGAGTGACTGCGCTGAGTCTCTTATTTCTGTCTTCCCTTTCACAGAGGAAGAGGAAAATTTTAGCACAGTCTCATTGACGCTCACACACCCAAGGACATAAGGACTTCCCAGAAGGCCTCGCCTCCTAAAGGGCCACAGAACCTCTCTCTCGGTAGCACCATTCTGGGGACCTCAAAGTTACAGACTCAGAGGACATTCAGCATCTGTACCGCAGAAACAATACGGTATCTGACTACTGCATAATTAATTGATGTGCAGGGTTTTCACTAACCTGAAACCTGTCAGAATAACAACGAACAAGGGGGCAGCCTCTGCAGAAGATTCTTTTATCTATATTGAAATAATTTCTCTTTTTAGGGAACGAGTTTTATGAATTGGTGAGATAACTGGCTGTTAGTATCTGGCATGCCTTAAGCCTTTGCACACGCACACACACTTGGTGTCATTAATAGATTAGGATAAACACACAGCACACAGCAAGAAGGCACACATGGTGTTTGGGAATAAGGTCCTTTCAAATTTCAACTTTGGGATTGGAGTTGCTGGTAAAAATCAAGGCCAGAAATTGAGGTCTGGAGATCTGAGAGCCAGGCACAAGGCTGGTCAATCAGATACCTGGAGCCAAACACGTTCAGGTTTCCAGCTGTTGTGTGGAATCCTAGGGTCCTTCTAAAAGCCTGGAAGAGCCTCTAAGGGAGCATAGTGCCTGGCAGGAAACAGACCACAAAGCTTGCAGGATGTCAGGCTCATGAGAGGAAGGTGGCAAAGTGTCTTGTCTGAATAAAAGAGAGATGGGAACCAGTGGCCCAGTGATAGCTCAGCAGGCAATTCTCCCTCCGCTGTTTACTTCCCAGCTTCTGTCTTACTGAGTGGGTACTATTCTTGCTGCAGACCGTATAGTCCTTTGTGCTGAGCCAGAAGGCTGTATCTGATATCCCTTAGCAGCCACAGACATGGGTCTGCACCCTGTGGCACACAGTCGAGGTCATCTTGGCTATCCAAAGCTCATTGCTTCCTTTTTGATGTGAATTTCAGTTTTTTTTTTTCTCTTGCTCTGATAAAACTATCCTGACACAAGCTAGAGAGATGACTCATTGGCCGAGAGCACTTGTTTTTCTTCTAGATGACCTGGGTTCAATTCCCAGCATCCACGTGGCCATTTACATCTATCTGTAACTTCAGCCCCAAGGGAGCCGATACCCTCTTCTCACCTTCAAGGGCACCAAGCACACAAGAGATGCATATACATACATGCAGGTAAAATACACATAAAAGAAAAAATGTATTGACAAAGCAAAACAAACCTCTTTTTTTTGTGAAAGTTAACCACACACACACACACACACACACACACACACACACTGACAGCAACAAAATGGACAAAGATAGACAGTTAGCTATAAATCAAAAGCAGAATCATTTGTGTTTAGTATTCCCGGCATTCAGTTTCTTCCTAAATAGTGAGGAGAGCACAGCCCACCTTGCCATTTTCTGATACACTGTCTTCTACTTCTTCCCCTCTTCCCCACTGTCCCCTCCGAGGAGCATGCAGAGGATTCTGGGAAAAGAAAGGAAACGGAAAAGCCTACCTCCCATAATAGAAGATTTCAAGGTTCTCCCTGGGAGAAGCACCATTGGGTCAAAAGAGAGCTGTGAACCTGTTGGAGCAACTCCCATAATCACACACACTCCGTAGCTCATATTGCAAGACTTCAACGCTGAGACCTAAATGCAGACACAGAATGGTTACGATCTCAGCAGCTCTGCATGTAACTTGTAGCAAGCCTGGTAGAAATGAAGGTCCTCTAAAGATGCCTTTGACCCTCAATCGGATCAGTAGACTACTAAAACAAACAGCCTCAAAGAAATGGGTATTGTCCCATGAACCACAGGCTAGGAGAGGAAAAGGACACCAGCCAGCGTGGGCATTTGTCTCCTGGAGAAAGATCTCACAGTTGGAACATCTTGCTGGCCCACCTTACAGGATGAGACTGAAGTGCAGACAGGACCGACCAAGGGCGGGTGGGAACAAACCTTGGCCAGGACTGCTCCAATGCATGTATCTGTTTCAACTTCGCTCTCACTTCACGACCTGGAATATGGACTTGGGGGCTTCACTGGGTCCTTCCCAATGTGGCCACATTGATTACATCTTCTTTTTTTTTTACTTTTGAAATTTTAATTTGGGTCTTTAAATTGGCTTATGGAGGGTGGGTGGCCAGGCCATCTTGCGGCGCAGGTTGTGTTCTTCAACTTTGATAACAATGCTGATGTGTGCTTTCAGGGAATATGTGGGAGACGTACTATGATCAAATAGCATGCATGCTTAATATGATGCCTAGAGTAAGCTGTTTAAATTCATTAAGATTAATATCTTCGTCTTGAAGATGAAGATATTATTAATTAGCTGGGAAGGCTGATCTACAAATGAAATGGGGTAGAACAGTGCAAGGCACGCCAGTATGCTCAGAAAGGCTAGGTAAAAATGCATAGCCCTTCATCAGGACTGGACATATAGAGCCAAGCTTAGTATGCTGGAGGCCCTTGGTTCAGTTTGCAACACCCTTCCAAATAAAACAAGCAGCAGTAAACTCCTGACTTTAATAAGTTAGTGTGTTTGTGAAAGGTGCTCAAGACACATACCATGGTTTCAATGAGGCCGATGGCCTCAAAGGCAAAGTCAACACCCACACCCGTCATTTCCATCACCACCTCCTGGACAGGCTTCTGGAGCTTTCTAGGGTTGAGACAATCAGTGACACCCAAGGCTCTTGCCCGGGGAAACTTCTTCTCATTGATGTCAACCCCGATGATTCTAGAAGCACCAGAAGCTTTGCAGGCCATGACAATGGCTGAGCCAATTCCTCCGAGTCCAAAAACCACGCAGGTGGAGCCAGGGGTGACCTGCAGATTCAGAGGTGATCTTGTGTTAGTAGGAAATGAAGAGGGAGCGGGGGAGGCCTCTTTGGTTTTGTCCATGACCGAAGGAGCCTTCCTGCCATGTGGCTCCCCTTTTACCCGTAGACAGTCACTGAAAACAGCTCAAATGTGTCCTTACCTGCGCTGTATTAAACACAGCTCCAAAGCCTGTCGGCACCTCACAGCTCATGATACAGACTTTATCCATGGGAGCAGCAGCATCGATCTTCGCCACGGCAATTTCATCTACCACGGTATACTCCGTGAAGGTGCTGGTCCCGTAAAGATGATAGATTTTCTTCCCTCTGCAGGTAAATCTGCTGGTTCCATCCAACATTAATCCCGTCGGAGAGAGAATACTACTCCCCAGACCGAGCAACAAAGAAGAGAAACGAAAAGACGTTTTCAGGACTGAGTCAACCCCTCTCCCGAGGAAAGCAAATGAGGTAAGAAGTCAAAATGGGAACTAACTTCTCTTTCTCACAGAGGTTGCCCTTCGGGTGGAGGCAGTAGATGCATTTTCTACATTCTGGAAGCGGAAGCATTAAAACTTTATCTCCTAAGGAAAAAGAATAGAGAAAGTTATGCCAACTCAAGGGAGACCTGGAATACAGTCCATTGGGAACTGGTTAGAGCAGATGCCATCAATTTGTTGCAGAGGAAGGGGGCATGGTATTTGAAGTTAATTATCATTCCACTCTGGGGTAAAAAAAAAAATCAATTTTAATATAAATAGACCTGCAAGATTAAAAAGAAAAGAATTCAGATATTTGCAACTCGTGGCATTGAGGTTCAAAGACAAGAGGTAGCTACATCTAAGAGTGAAATCAGTCTTTGTGGTATACAAGGCTTGTCTGTTTGGCTCAGTGTTCCAGGAGAAAAGTAGAATCTGTGCTTACTGATATTTATTGGAAGAATGAATCATATACAAGCTAAATTAGAACCAGCACTCATTATGAGGTGCTGTATCATACTAGAACTTAAGGAAAGGCGGCCTGTGCCCTTCATCATATTCTGTCATTAAGGAGCTAAGTTAATCAAAGGAATTGACCTTTTTCAGGGCATTGCTTCATAGGTGATTGAGATCAGTCTGTGCCCTGCCCTGAGCTACTCCGTATCACGTAAAACAATGGTTTTCAGATGGATTGCCCTGAAAGATGACTTTACAAGCAGCTTTTGACTCCTTTTGGGAAAGGAGGGAACTGACTGCTCCTAGGACACCATCCAGAGATCTCAGCCCTCATAAAGCCTGTTTATTGGCTTGTCTTTCAGTTTCCCAGCTTTCCCTCTTAGGTCCCCTGCAATGCCTTGCCTCCGTAACCTACACATATAACTGTTCTGTAGTTCCTACCCTCACATAGCCACAGATGTATGTACTGTGTGCTGTGTGCCATGTGGTCAGAGTTGGTATTCGTAATTAGGATGGGAATGGAGCAACTCACAGGTGTCCCAGCCAGGGCTTGCGATCAAGGCGATCAGGAACACCTAGCAAGTTCCTGCCAACCAAACTGCTGTGCTGTGTGAACTTACTGATAGTCAGTACATTCTGACATCATGGGAAGGCACAGATGTGTTCACCCATATTCCTGGCATAGCATGCTCACAAAATATGTAAAAGAAAACAAAAAAAATCTATGACAAACTTTTGTTAGAATAATGTGATGTTATCAAGTGTTTGAAACAGGAAGGTCTGTACTGTGGGGAAAGGAAATACAAAGTCTAGGAGAAACTCTTACACATGATACTACTCTGTACAATTGAAAACATTAATGCAGACACACGTGTGTGTACTGAATAGGTCTCATGTTTTATGTTTACCAATGTTGTGATACAGTGTGTCTATTGTAATTCTTAGTTTAATTTTGGGTGGACTGGTGTGAGATAATATCCATAAGGATGAATGGATAAGAATTCTTTTAGGCTCTTGTAGTCAAAAATAAAATTGGAAGAATATGAATATTCTAATTTTCCATGAGGGAATTGAGCACAGCCTGTGAAGGACAGGTAAGAAGGTAAGTGTTCACACCCCTGAACTCCGTCTTCACCTGTGCTCTGAAACCCAGGTTGCCTATTTCTGTAGCTGATGTCTGGATGCAGATTAATGGTTTTGTCAACATATGGTGCGTTTTGAGGTCTTTATGTTACCCCGGGGGAAGAGTCAGAGTGGGAATTAGGACAGGAATTGGTGCTACATTGTAAAAAATGGAATCTACCTCTGGGCAGAGACAGGTCCTTGTCCCTCCCTTTAAAGCTAATACACAGGGCACAGCTGGAACCTGGCTAGGGAGCACCCACAAGAAACTGGGTTCATCTGAAGGTGCGTGCCCTTCCTTTCTGGCACACCTGAAACCTAACACCATCCCTACCATACCCACCATGAGTTTGGGGTCTGCTAGCCCTTCTGAGACCGGTCTGGAAAGACATAGTTATTTCTTCTTTTTCTCTCTGATGCTGGCTGTATCCTAAGGATGCTCTCACACCCCATAATCAATGCTTTGGGATTCCTTAGTCCTTTTTCTAAAGCTCCTCTCCTCGACCTGTGGCTGTATGTGTTCAGGGGAAAGGGGGCTGACCCCCATGCTGCCTCAGTTCGAGCAGCGTGACTTTCCTTCCTTCTCTTCTCCACTTCCCCTCCCCCTTCCAGTTTGCCTGCCCTGGTTCTTCCTTTTAAGCTCCAATAAACTGTCTTCATGTTTCTGTTTGAGTCTGTTCTTTGTCCTAAAGCCTATTTGTGATTTTTCTTAAATTCTTTCATTAATAAAACTAAGAACCTCGAGAGGACCTTGATTTCCCAGTTACCATTTGATATCATATGATAGCTCTGCTGGGGCTCCATGTGATTTCTGATAACACCTTTCCCCGCCTCTTAATTCCTTCCTTCCTTCCCTCCCTCCTTCCTTCCTTCCTTCCTTCCTCCCTCTCTCCCTCTCTCCTTCTCTCCCTTCCTCTCTCCCTTCCTTCCTCCCTCCCTCCCTCCCCCTTCTCTTTCTTTCTTTCAATTTATTTATTTATTATGTATGCAGGGTTCTGCCTGAGTATATGCCTCCATGCCAGAAGAAGGTACCAGATCTCATTACAGATGGTTGTGAGCCACCATGTGGTTGCTAGGAATTGAACTCAGGACCTCTGGAAGACCAGCCAATGCTCTTAACCTCTGAATCATCTCTCCAGTCCTGCCTCTTAATTCCTTAAGTGACAGAAAAGCTAAACCTCTTCCTGCATCCCTGGATAGCATCAATATCACGTTTAGTTACCTACCTGGCTTTACGGTAGCTACGCCTTGCCCGACACTCTCCACAAGCCCAGCTCCCTCATGGCCCAAGATGATAGGAAGTGGCATTTTGTCTTTCCCTTCCAGGATATGGTTATCAGTACCACAGACCCCGGAGTATAAAATCTGAAAAGATGATTAAATACATTGAGATAAAATGCCTAGTGACAGAAAGACAGACTCACTGTGTTCTCACGAATATGTGGATCCTGGCATCAAATCTTTAGATTTCCATGTTTAACTTAGAGTACTTGTAGGGCCAGGTGTGCTGGTTGGGTTTTGTCAACTAAACCAAGCCTAGTATAACTAGGGAAAGAGAAAGTTAATTGAAAAAAATTCTTCCAACAGATTGGCCTGTAGTAAAGTCTGTGGGCATTGTCTTGATTAATAACCGAGGTGGATGGGTCCTGTTCACTGTGGGCCTTGCTGTCCTGGCCTGGTGGTCCTGGGTTGCATAAGAGAGTGAGCTGAGCAAGCCAGGAGTGAGCAATCCAGTAAGCAGTGCCTCTCCATGGCCTGTGCTTCAAGTTCCTGCCTTGATTTCCCTCAGCGATGGCGTGTGATCCGAGAGGAGTAAAATGAAACAAATCCTTTCCTTCCCAAGCTGCAGTTGCTCATTGTTGAATGTTATTTTGTCTGTGTTCTGACACACAAAACTTGCCTGGAGATCAGAGGGAGGAGCCAGCCACTAGTTAACCCTAGAGGCTAGGCAGTGGTATCACACACCTTTAATCCCAGCACTTTGGGAGGAAGCAGGAAGATCAGCACACCGTGGGCTATATGGGTTTGAGCCAGTCTAGGAGAGAAACAGAGTCGAGGATTGGTGGTGCACTAGGGAGGTGGAGATGGATCTTGCTCCCCATTTGGTCTGAGAGTTTGTAGAGGTAAGAAGTCTCTAGGGGCTGCTGCTCTGCTTCTCCGATCTTTCAGCTTTCACGCTAATATCTGACTCTGGGTTTTGATGAATAAGACTAAGGAGGCTTGTGCTTCAGGTCATCGTGCGTTATCACAGCAATAGAATCCTAACTAATACACCAGGAAAACCAAAAGAAGCCCCTAGTGGGAGAGGGAAGAAAATGTTGTAAAGGAGAAGGAATAGTAGGATGTAGGTGAAAAGGAAACGGGATTAATGAGTGTAAGGCCTGCATTACTCTCTATGGTACAGTTACTCTCTATGGTACAGTTGGCGCTACTGTACCGTTTGCGAGCCAGGCAAGGGCCTGGAGGTTAAAGGAACACACAAGAGACGTGGGTCATCTGTGAGGAGAGAATGCCGAATGCTGTTTATTCAAGCTTAGGAAAAACTTTATATACCTAGCGGCTGTACAATGGAATTCCCTTTTGTCAGGTGGGAAATTACCAGGTCCACGGTGGAGTAAACAAAGGCCCTATAGCTAATCACCAAGGGGATAAAGGGAGCACAGGAACAAACAGGATGTTTAGCTGGAAATTGCAATAAGTTGTCTGGCCAGAAAGTCCTCAATATGAACCCCGGGAGGAGGGATAGACCTGTGGGCCCTAGAAGTGAGGAGGGAGGTTTACAGGAGGTAGAGGGAGATGGGAAGGTAGGGCAGAGTAGGGGGTGGGGCAGGGATAATTAACACTAGGATATTTTAAAAAGCTATATGGAAATCTACTGTTTTATGAACTTCCTAAGTGTGTGTGTGTGTGTGTGTGTGTGTGTGTGTGTGTGTGTATTTCTCCCTAGAAACCATAGGGTGCCAAATATTATTGCTAAAGGGACAGTGCCAGTGCTAGATCTGGGGTATCTCCCCCCCTTGAATTATCTGTCACGAGTGACTTAGAGACCCCCTCAAACAATATAAGCTGTGGTGATGGCTCTTGGTTGCTCACCAGGAACCTGTTGGTAAGCTCCTGCTACTGAAAACACCACAGTCATGGAAAAGTCAAGCAGATGCTGACTGGGCTGCTTTCTCTGCGCTCATTTGCTTTCATGGTCCTGAAGGTTCTCTGTGTGTTGCTGGGAGAGAAAGGCCATCAACAGTTTTATCTGCGAACTCTGCAAGCGACAATAATGACCAGCCTGGTAGGATGCATCCATGGGTGCAGGGGTGGCATAAAGGCTGCAGGGATCACCAACCACTTTCTCACTGCATTTCCGGCCCATTCCACAGGAAGAAACACAGGTCTGGTATATAAATCTGGCCTAAACCCCATGGTTGGGAGTTCATAGGCTCTAGAAACAGACCTATTCCTATTGTCTTATTGCTAAAGGGACAGAGTATCAACCTGCTCTCTAAAGACATGATGTTTACTCCTCGATTGGGGCATCTCTCAGATCTCTTCAGCAAAGCTTTTTTTGTGCTGTGGACGACAGCTAATGAAGAAACTCACAGCTGGTTAAAGTGCAGAGAGTATGTACGGCACTCTCTGCTGTCAGTGGGACATCTTCGTCACACACCTCCCCAAGGCTGGGGCCATCTTGTGGAAGAGGGGTTGGAAAGATAGTAAGAGCCAAAGGTTGAGGAAGACCAGGGAGAAACAGTGTCCTCTGGACATGACAGGATGGATGCACCCATAAACTCACAGCGGCTGTGGTCACCAGCACAAGATGAAGCCATTTAGCATCCCAGGGTTTCCAAGCTCACGCCTAGCTGAGAAACAACTGACAGTTGGTGGCTGCTACATGAGTAAGTTTTCTTTAGGAGGATGGTCCTGGGTAGGCCAACTGTGCTCCAGTGACCCTCACTGTGCATATATGAGCAGCGTAAACTGGTGCTGTGAGCCACAACTATTATAAAGTAAAAGTACAGCTGACAGATCACTAGAAAAACCCACAAGTGTGCACCTTATGGGGAACCTGATATGCAAAGCTTTGGGAATAGCTATCGTTTGGATAGTCACTGTCAATTCTGTAGAAATAGTGTGAAGTCACGGCTTTCTCCCTCCCATTAAGGGATTCATCCCAAAATATCCCAGCAGTGGATAAATCATCCTGTAAACCTGACTTATCCTGCACTGGCAACTGGATGACCTCTCCCACACCATGGGGCCCTGGTGTGGAAGCATTCACTCAGTCAAACCTTTGTTCTCAGAGTCAAATCTACATAAAGCCAGTCCCCCATAATTATCCTTATTGACAGGACTTATTGGCAAGAAAGGAGCCCTAGGCAGGAGGCACTGAACAGAGACAGTATGTCTGCTCTTACTGATTGATAAACAGGTTTGGGTAGCCCTGAGTTTTTTAACAGGCAACTCAGGAGAGTATGATCTACTGGCCTTTGTTCTACCCTAACAAACTATTAATATTCTCTACTTACCTTCACCTTTCATTTGACACAAAGTCTTAGTCTAGGTACTTAGCTGTTTGAAACTTTACCCCTAAAATGTATAGGACAAAAGCTTAGCTCGCTAAACCAGCCCCAGAAACTGGACCCAGTGAACTGTTAAGAAGAAAAAGGACATGAAGTAGGAAGAGGATGGGGATGTGGGCAGGGGTGAATATGTTCAAAACATATTGCATGCATGCATGAGGCTCTCGAAGAATGAATGCAATTATTATATTAAAATACCTGGTTATAAAATTATTGAGTCTTGCAGAGAAAAATAGGTTACAACTTCAAGTGACATCATTGTGCCCACAGAACACAACACGGAGTTTCTCTTTTCTTCATAATTTTGCCCCGACTGCCTTAACTTGGCAAACACTAAATTCTTTCTGGCACTTTGTTACAAACTGCAGGATGTGTTCAATACAGCAGGAACTTTAGGGCATATCTTGTTACATGAACTCACAGGGAGGGAAACCTGGGTAACATTTTGATGTTCTCCCCTGAATTCCATGCCAAGCAGTAAAACAGTCTAAACCCCAAGCCTTTCTGTGCCAGCTTTCCCATGCCCATCCTGCGTGCTGTTTCATGATACCAGCTAACATTGCAAAAAGAGACCTGGAAAAGCCTTTGAAGCCATCTCCGAAGGTTCTTCTGCCCTATACAGCTTCCTTGCCTTTTCCTCTTGGCAACAGTTTTCTTTCTCTAACTCTTCCTATTCAAAAGGTCACTTAGTTGCCCTCGGGGGCACAGAGATGCCACAGCTGGATGGAGCTGGTGGCCAGTCAGATCAGTTTCAGACTGCATATTTCCCCTGGAACATGTTGACAGAGCTAACAAGTTTTATCTAGACATTCTCTTTATTTTTGTTATTTTTTTTTCTGGCCCGCAGAAATTGATCCTTGGAACGTTCCAAATTCTTTGTAAAATTGCTCTTTCGCTTTGGCAATCTGCTCACTTTGATGTTATTTTCTTTATTCCTCTGGGCTCTTCCCGGATGGGAGATGTTTATCTGTGTGTTTTCTTGGTCTGTTTATTCAGGCCATTGATCCAAGCAGTTACCTGGCAGTCCCATCCCTCTCTGTCCTTTTGTTTACTTGATGCTTCTAGTTGCCCCAGAATCTCATCTCTCTCTGCCCTTTTGCTTGTTTGCTTGCTGTTTTCAAATGCCCTCTCTGGTTGGTCTTGAGGGAAATCAGTCTAGTCTGGTCCACAGCTATAGATCTGCAGAAATTCAGTGGTGTCAGCGTGAACTATTAATTTTATCTTTGCCTGGTTTTCTGTGTTGAGTTTGCTGCTGTTTGCTCACAGAGTTTCCAGGCCTCTCTTAAATGCTTATCACCAAGATCTTGGGTATGGTTTGGGTGTGGTCTGCTTCATGAGAGGTTCACATGCTAGACTCTTACCCCCCAGCATAGCAAGTATTGAAAATCAGCAATGTCTTTGATGCATGGGCACTACCCTCATGAATGGCTTAATGTCTTTCTCAGAGGACTAGATGGAGAAGCTCGTGAGACGATTCATCAGTTAAGAATGCTTTCTGCTCCTGCAGAGGACCTGAGTTTGTTCTTAGCACCAAAGTTGGGTAGCTCACAACTGTCTGTCTTTCCAACTTTAGTGTGTTTGTGGCCTCTAGGGGGCACCAGGACACAAGTACACACACACACACACACACACACACACACACACACACAGACACACACACTTTAAAAATGAAATACATCTTTAAAATGGATTAGGTCTCATGGAATGCATTAGGACTAGCAGTCCCCAGTATAATAGCACGTGGAGGGAGGTAGTCAGCTTCAGATGAAGCCATGAATTCACAGCTTCTGTCTTTATGAAGAGAGAGACCAGGAGCTTCTTCCTTTCCACGTCCCCTCTTTCTCTCTCACAGAAAGGTACATCAAGAAGATGAGCATCTATGTATGTATGTATGTATGTATGTATGTATCTATCTATCTATCTATCTATCTGTGCCAGTATGAGAGCTTTTATCAGAACCAGGCATGCTGGCTCCCTCATCTAGAAGACTTCCAGACTATGGAACTGTGAGAAAGTAAATCTTCTCTAAAACACACGCATGATGGGATTCTGTGTTGGTGGCTGGAGCAGACCCTGGTGAGGTGGTCCTGTCTAGAGCAAACTTTTCCTACAGTTGAGAATGGCAGAAGAAGGTGGGTGATTAATCCCTAGAACTCTAGATCTGTCATACCTGGAGTGGAGAACCTCCCAGGGAACAAGTGTGGGAGGGGGGCCTGGGCCTCATAGCCACTCCCACTGCAGCAGAGCAACTGCTTTTGTCTGAGTCTCTTGTCTCCTGATGTAACAGAATATCACCGATTATGTCATTCTGACCCTATCGGTTTATTTGGCTCACAACTGTGGAATCTGGTGAATCTAAGACCATGGTCTCTCACCCAAGGGCCCACCTTCTGTTACAACATGGCAAACAGCAGGTGGATGTGTGCGATATAAAGAGGTAGGTGGGTGCAGAATCGTGCTTTTGTTAGGAGCCTGTAAGAAATGTCTTCCTATAGGAACAGCTTTAATCCATTCGTGAGGGCCAAGGCCCCACGATCCACACACTTACTTCTTAGAGACATTGTCCTGGAATCTTTATAATGGCAACCACACTTTAACACAAGTCTGGGAGGACACCTATAGCCACCGAATAGTTATATATCAGAATAGCTCTGTAACTGTTAAAAAGCGAGCTTTAGGAACTAACAGTTGTGTTGATTTCCACCAATCTTACTTTGTGTGTCTATGAGTTATGTGTGTGTGAATGAGCTTTCTTGTGTGTATGAGAGAAAGAGAACTTTCTGTGTCAGTGTGTGTGTGTGTGTGTGCTCTCTTCCCCCACCCTCCTCTGTGTGTGTGTGTGCGTGTACGTGCGTGTGCCCACACATGCACCAGAGGTTGAAGTCCAGATATCTGTCCTCATTTGCTCCTCTATTTTTTGAGATAAGGTTCCCCACTGAACCAGAAACAGAGGCTCATCACTTTGGCTTCACTGGTTGACCAGAAAAGTCCGGGGGATTCTCCTGTCTCTAACTCCCAGTTACAAATGTATGCCTCTTGCCTGGCTTTTATGTGACTTCACTGATCCCTCCCCAGTCTGATTTCCAAATCCAAAAATCATTAGTATTTTAAAAATATTACCGACCACTTAGTATTTATCTGTCTTAGGATTGTGACATTTTAACAAAATGCAACAACCGCATTATTACTAGACACTAATATCAATCTGTATAAATCATAGGAACTCTTAACTCTCTTTAATATAGAATACCATGTTTCCTAAATTAAAAAAATCATTGTAAACACACACATATATACGTTTATATCTACTCAATGTATTACCATTTATATTTACCTTAATTCGGACCTCACCAGCCTTTGGTGGATCAACTTCAACCTCCTCAATGGAAAGGGGGGCATTGGTTGTCCAGGCAACAGCTGCCCGGCATTTGATGACCTAGATGCATGCAAAAATGAAGTGATGATGTGTGTTACTGCTAATGAACAAGAAACAGTGAGATAAGGAGTCCAGTTCCCATCTCCTACCCTGAGCAGCCATCCTGTTTGTCTCCTTTAGAGGTGAAAACAGCTACTTATTCATTGGAAACAATCTCTTGTATCTTTTATGTCTGATTAAAATAAAAACTTAAACAAAATGTTATAATGTAAGTTCACCTCTATATGCATGTATGTACATATACATATAATACATATATACATATATATCGTACTTATACATCATAGTATACCTTCTTTTAGCTTCAGAGAGCTGATTGGAATTCTTAGTTGATTTCTCTGTATTTAAAATGCCACAAAGTACCAATGTTGGTTTATGAAGCCCAGTTCTGCTCTCTGAGCTTAAATTCCTGCCTTGTATTTTCTACCATTGCTTACTTACCTGGAGATTAGACTCTATCACGCAAAGAACCTGGTAAGAAAAGACTAGCAGCACCTTGGAAGTAACATGAGAAACACTTCCCCTCCTACTTTTCTAGCCCAAGTTCATCCTAGTGAAATAGGGCATAGAACATTTAATTTGCCATTATAACTGACTTCCTCTGTCTTATAACATTGATTCATTTTAGTTTGCAAATCTCCAATCTTCGCTTTTTTCTACTGATTTTCCTTTATTAATAGATATTTTGGAGATAAGTATTTAAACATTCTCTTTATAAATTTTTCAGGATTGATTAAGTTGCTTATCTCTTTAACACAAAAATAAAGGGAAGATGGGAACACAGCCCCCCCCCACTATCACTAATTATGCAATTCCCCAAAATTTTGGAAACTCATAAGGGACAGCGTATGTGCAGTGCAATGGATGAGTCTCACCCTGGGAAAGCTACCTCTGAGATCACAGTATCTCCCATTGGGGCTAAGTTTCTAAGCTGTTTCTTTAAATGATAACAGTTCTTATTTTATTATGATTTTCATAGAGATTCTTCTAAAACTGACTTGCAAACTACCAGGAGTTCTTCCTTTATGCAAAGCATGCTCTCAACAGAGCCTTAATTAGCAAAGCATATCTACTACCAATTATGACCATCCAGGGGACCGCATTCCAGGAGCTAACCCTGACTTACACTGCTGGGTGTTTTCATGGCGAGGCTGGCTTGCTCCATCTTTGCTTCTGGCGGGTTCAGAACTGAGGTCCTCTCCGTCTCTAGTGCTCACCTTCTGAACTGAGTGAGCACTGATGTCTTCTTACTCTCCAGAGTGACTCAACCACTGTGCATTAACCTGAGAGGGAGGGGAAGGGAAAGAAAGAAATGACAAATCAAAAGATGGAAAAAGGAAGGCAGGCCTGAAGCCAGGAAGGAAAGATGGGTGAAGTATAAACAGGAGAGAAAAGGAAAGTATGGTTTTAGATGGAAAGTGAAGAAAAAAGATGAAGGAAAAACATCAGCTATTCTGAAATGAATTTTCCGCTGAGTAGTTTGCCAATCGTGTCTTCTGATCTCGATACAACTGCTATCAACTTGTTCTTAATCACGCCTTTCTGTGCAGAGACTGACCTTCCTAAAGAATTATAGAATTAGCTTGCCTTGGGGTTTGAACACTGTTTCCTGTTTCAGATGTTTTGAGTCTGGGCGTGGGCAGGCATGGAATTATGAGGAGAGATGTACAAAACTGTGAGGAAAGAGAAGAATTTAGAAAGAGAAGGACAGATTGGTGAAGGATGCTCGGGTAGGGGTGGGCGTAAGAGGAGGAATGAAATCAAACAGGTTGTAGTAGCTCCACCTGCCTTTACCTGCCGAGTGCTGGGAGTACAGGGCTGTGCCACCAAGCCCGGCAGATCTTAACACTTTGAAAGGAAAACACATCAACCATTAATGCAAATGAGAAAACAAGAACCATCAAAAACACACACATTAGGTTTTCACTGGCACAATCAATGAGACTCAATGAGACTTTTTTTTTTTTTTTTGGTGATAAATCTTTCCTAAATGTACAGGTACTTACCCCAGACGGGACGGATAGCAGACTGGAGGAACGGCTGCTCCAGAGTCCAACTTGTTGAACTACTGAGTTTTTATTTGGGTTACTGGCTGGAGTGAATGAAGCATGATTAATACAATCCCAGAGACAGAAATTGGGGTTCAACCTGAAGGTCAGAAAAGCAAAGCAGCCAGTCACTGGCTCTTACTTCTGCCTCAGTCCAAAATGGTGATCCTGCCTCCAGGAATCTCAGAATGAGACTGTGTGTGAGAGCTGTCTCCTCCCATTTTATATTCCTTTCTAGGGCTGGGATTAAGGGTATGCACCACTACCGCCCGCTTTCTATGGCAAACTAGTGTGGCTACTGGGATTAAAGGTGTGTGCCACCACTGCCTGGTCTGTAAGGCTGGCCATTGGGGCCGTTTTACTTTTCTGATCCTCGGGCAAGCTTTATTTATTAAAATACAAATGAAATGCCACTACAAGTGGAGTGTTATTTGCAACAACAAGGATGACTCAAAAGTAGCCTCATCACCAAGCTGCATCCGTGGAGCTCTCTGCACGGCTTGCACAGGAGTGGAACATTCCCGGAGACCGCTCTATAGCTTGCTGGTCAGTTTCTCTTGAGCAGTCACTTATGGCTTCCACAGGCCTGGGGAACCTCCAAGCTTCAGTTTTCCCAGACTTGTGACACTCGCTCATTACATGAGTTTCTAGAGCTTCTCCTCTTGCTCCTGAAGCGAGTGTTTCAGTTCAGAAGAAGCTACTCTACTACAGAGACTTCTCACATTACTGCCTGTAATGACGCCTGACTTCACTTTTGATATTTGCAGCAGCTTTCAAGTTCCTGCGCATCCCTGTTCCTTTCATGTCTTCCATGTGACTAAATGTATGACCAATCTTCTACAGTTTCCATTAGTGTTGTTGGCCACGCCTCCCCTTGATCTTTGAAATCATTTATGTACCTTCTTGACAGTGTGTCTGACTCTCCCCAGCAAGCCCCCATTTTGTTAGTATTTTTTTTCCTTCCCTCCTGGCACATGTATGGCTTCACCTGTCCACATTTGAACCAATTTTATGTGAAAATTGCAGCCGGTCTGTAAGAGTGCTGGCCACTGGTACCAGCAAGCATGGGTTTCAGCAATGATCAGCACAGCCGAGGTCTTATTTTGCCTTGCTAATTGGCCCTGCTGATTGCTCATGAACTTGTATTTTGAACTGTTGCCTTCTGGCTAATGTCTGTGGGCTGTGTTGCCACCTGTAGGCGAGCCTGCATTTGGAGCTAGGCTACTTATTGCTGCATCTGCTGAATATTATGAAGTCTCTTTTACAGATTCTAGAAACAAGACACTCACTACAGTATGACTACAAAGACGTGGTGGCTAGAATAAGAAATGCCTCTTCTAGGCTCATGAATTTGAACACTTGATTCACAGTTGTTGTTGGCATTTGGGGGAGTTATGGAACCTTCAGGAGGGTGACTCTTGCTGGAAGAAGTACACCACAAGGGTTTTTGTTTGTTTTGCTTTATAATATCACTCGGCTTCTTGTTCTATGTCGTTCTCTGTATCTCTGGGTCTCTGCCTGTATCTGCGTCTCTGTGTCTGTCTGTGTCTGCCTCTGTCTCCATCTCTCACTGCTTCCTGAATGCATCTGTCACCCTGTCCTACCTTCCTCAGCACAATGGACTCTCCCTCTGGAACCATGTGCTAAAATGGCCCCCTCTCTTCCTTAATGACTTCTGGTCATGCTGTTCTGTAACAGCAACAGAAGCATATTGATCACAGGCGAGTCTGGAGCAAGCCACAGTTCAGAGTAGCTTTACGGAGGAAACAACTCTGGAGGGCATGGGTAGCAAGCTCAGAAGACCGATGCTTTGTCAAATACGGCATCAGTTACTTTACTCTTCATCGTGAGAGGAACATCTGGCAGATTAAAAAGGGAGGAGGATTTCGTCCCATCTCACCTCACCCTCTTATGGTGAGGAGGGGCTGAGGGCTGAAATGGCTCTGTCTGTGGTGGGCAAGGCTGTCATTCAGCCTGATCACATCTCAGCAAGCAGGAGGCCGAGACATGAGCTTAAGAATAACATAAGACAGAAGCTCCCTTACTTTGTAGGGCAACCATTGTCACAGGGAGGACGCAACCAGATGATGGTCTGATTGGAGGCTCTGGGAAAGCGCTTACTTGTGATCGGAGGCTCCAAAAAGTTGCATGATCGTATTGAAAACCCAAAATCTACAAGACAATTATTATCCATCAGAAAAGTAGAAAGGGCACCAACTGGTGTTGCACTTCAGTGACCTCAGCTGATTCTAAGTTAACTTTAACATCTGCTGACTTGTTAATCCTACTGCTCAAGTAACCGCTTTATGTGGAGTCTTAGTACATTTAAATGTGGTGCCTTACACGTGGGGGTGCCGCTGAACTTAAAGTTCAAGCTATTACACTGTAGTGCAAGTTACCAAATGTGTAGCAGAGGAGAGGGTGGTATTCCTTGCTTTAGTCGTCAATACAGTTGCCTCGCATAAATTCTGGAGAGTTACAGCCCGAAACTATCTTATCTAACAAGTCAAAGAGTGGGCACCCACAACTCCTATTATGTCTAATTAAAATAATAATTATAGCACAATTAGAATTAAAACAATTCCTTCAAGGATTGTGACTCGTTGTACAAAAGCCCCTTGGGAAGCGATAGTTAGATGCACTGTTTCTCCTTCATTCTCCGACTTGGGCTTCTTGGTCCTCACAGGGTAGAAACTGTGAGAGCTGACATAATAAAACATACGCATTTTCTCTTGGCTTCTAGCTCTTAATACAGCCTCCCCAACTATTATTTTTTGAATGATGAGCATGATATACATAGAGTGCCTTAATCCCTGAATATTCTAGGGTTTTGGAGAATTTTTGTTCTACTCGGGCAACTTGATGGGACTTCTGATAGTTTCAGCAGGACAAAGGGCAATTGGTCCCCAGAAACCATGCCGTGAGTAGGGACTCTCAGTTTCGCTTACCATCTTACGTGGGTGCTGGGAGGACGCACTTCAGTTTGACTCTCTCCTGTTCCCAGGAGGTATCTGGACCTTGCCCTGTTTCCTTTCACTTAGTTATTTATTTTCATATTTTTAAATATCCTCTAAGATTAACCTGCAGTGGTTCTCTGAGTTCTGTAACCTAGCACAGCAAAGGATCAGACCTGAAGAAAGCTCATTGGAACAGCTTATTGGGTGCCGTCAGAGAGATGAGTAACCTATCATCCACTGGCTTTGATTGACATCCAATGTGGGAGGCAGTTTAATGGAACGGCACAGTGGGCTCTGCGCTTAGCTTGAGGTAGTTTGTGTCAGAACTGAGTTAAACTGTAAGAGAGCAAGCTGGAGTCCATGCAGAGCTGGAGAATTGCTCAATATAGAAAACTGACATGTTGAATGTGAGAAAAACCCATGCTTGTTATTAGAGATTAATGTCTAAAATTAAATACCCAAATAATCAATATAGATGAGCAGATGAATTATACTGAAAAGTCTCAAGAGAAAAATTATACAAATGGCCAATTAATACAAAAATAAATATTCACTATTTTTAGTCATCAAGGAATGAAAATCAAAATTACACTGAGATACCTTTACATCTCACCTCAGTCGGAGTGGCTATCATTTGATAAAACAAACCATAAACCAATTGCTGCAAGGATACCCCGACTATAGATCCCTTACAATGTGGGTGGGAATGTAGATCGGTGTAATCACTATGGAAATCAGTATGAAGGGGCTTCAAAAAGCTAGAAAAAGAGTTGCCATGTGATCTGGCTCTCCTGTTCCTGGATATATTCTCAAAGGACTCTAAGTAAGTACACCACAGAAATGTGTGCATATCCATGTTTACTGAGGTACTGTGCACCATACTGTAGATATAGAGCCAGTCTAGATAGCTGGATAAAGAAAGTATGATATCTATCTATCTATCTATCTATCTATCTATCATCTATCTATCTACCTACTATTATGCCATTAAGAAGAATGAAATTGTGTCATTTGCCCCAAAATATATGAGTTGGCGGTCATGTTCAGAGAAATAATCCAGACCCTGTGAGACACGTGTTGCATGGTTTCTCTTATTACAGAATCTTGGCCAAAAGAAAGAGAATTGAAAGCAGGAGAAAGACTGAGAAGAGGAAGACAGC